TCTACATGTCAAGTTAGTTGCATACAATTACGTCATTGGTTGCATATACATATCCATTAAATATTTTGAAACATTATGGTTAAATAAACTGATGCTTTGAGCGTTTCTGATGCTCTCAGGTAGGGCATTAAAAAGGCGCACACCTTCGAAAAATAATGATTTTTGTAATGCTGTAGTTTTAACTGGTTGAATGTGGAAGTTTTGCCTTGAACGGATATTATGGTCATGGAAATTAGACCTCTTGTCTAGAAAGCTTTTTAAGTAAGTAGGCATCTTATTGTGTTCTATTTTATAAATTAAAGTGATATTTGCCTTTTTAATGCTCTGTACAATTGGTAACCAGTTTAATGACTGCAGCATACTTTTAATAGGTGTATATTTATCACAGTTAAGTATTATCCGCATTGCCTTATTTTGTTGTATCTGTAGTCTTTGTATGTCTTCCTGGTTACAAGATACAAGAAGTGAGCAACAATAGTCAAAATGCGGCAATATAATGGTGTTGAAAATTAACAGTTTAGTCCATTGAGATAAACACATTGAGATGCGATAAAAAAATCCGATCTTTTTGCCTATTTTTTTACACAAATAATCTATTTGGTTGGAAAACGATAATTGCGGGTCTAGATAAACACCCAAGTATTTAATCTCTGGAACCAAGGAGATAACTGAGTCACAAATTTTGACATTCAGGCCTAATTCTGCATATTTTTTACAGTTTGCCCTAGAACCTATAATCATACACTTTGTTTTTTCAGCATTTAATTTTAACCTATTTTTGCAAAGCCAGTCATAAAGAGCTATAAGCTCGTTGTTCAAAATCTCAGTAATTTCCCTAAGGTTTTTTCCTGATACAGAAATTAAAGTGTCGTCTGCAAAAAGATTTACAAAAGACTTGCTCAATACCTTATGAATGTCATTTACATAAATGATAAAGAGGAGGGGACCAAGAACACTTCCCTGCGGGACTCCAAATAAACTTTTTCTTTTATTGGAAATATTAGACCCTATCCTAGTTTGCTGAAATCTATTGCCTAAATAGTCCTTAATCCATTCTAATGCTATGCCGCCGAGACCATAGGACCTTAGTTTTTTAATGAGGATATCTCTATCAATGGTTTCAAAGGCACGTTGCAGGTCCACAAACACACTAAGCACCACGTTGTCCTCATTCATGTCTTTCCTCCACATTGCACATACATATTGCAGGGCTGATTCGCAGGAATGGTCACTTCTAAACCCAGATTGTCCGAGATATAGTAAGCCATTAAGTTCAAAGTATTTTCTTATCCGCTGACACACTATAGTTTCAATTATTTTATCCAGAACTGGAAGCAGATTAATTGGCCTAAATTCGGCTGGTACGGTTGGCTTAGAAACTTTGGGTATAGGAATTATTACGCTAGTCTTCAACTCACCAGGCACTTTTCCGGAGGAGAGAGAGGTGTTTATTATATAAAGCATAGCATAGCCAATTACACAAAACAGATTTTTTACTAGCTTTACATTTAGTGATTCATCACTGGTGCTTTTGTTTTTTAACTGAAAAACTGTTTTTTTCAACTGTGAGAGGTTAATGGGCTCAAATTGCAGCAATCGAAGAGTGTTGCTTTGAGTGACATGAGAGTCCCACTGTTTTTTCTCTATGCTTTCTGAGATTTCTTCAATACTATCTGCATAGAAATTATTGAATTTTTCCTCTATTCTTCCATCATATTGCCCAAAGTCGATCTCTTCAAAATCTATGAATTGTTTTTTGTTTCCCATGAGGTCTTTTAATGTTCTCCACATTTTTTTGCTATCCCCTTTACATCTATCTATATTCTGGTCATAATATTTGATTTTTTCCGCCCGTATTACTGACGTTGATCTATTGCGGAAAATTTTATAGTCGTTCCAGTCTTCGGTTCTTCTGGTGAGGCAAAATTTTCTATATGCATTGTCTCTCTCTTTCTGCGCTTGGTTAACTGCTGTTGTGATCCAGGGATGCTTTCTTGACTTATGTTTCCTTAGCGGCGCAGTTTTGTCTAATGCTAATTGAATTACACTAATGAAATCGGTATATAAGATATTGACATCTGTGGATGTGTAATTCCAATTGGCACCTATTAATTCTACAGTCAATCTAGTCATTGTTTCGGGATTCAGGTTTCTAAAATAACTATCCTGTATTTTTTCTGGTATAATCTCAAATGATAACTTGGTACCAACAATTTCATGATCACTCACCATGGTAAACTCTCTTGGCACTTCCTTTGCACTGAAATCATTTGTTATTATATGGTCGATCAAAGTGGCTGAAACATCAGTTATTCTGGTTTCCTTTTCTACGATTTGCTTAACACCTGCTGCTTGAATTATCCTTTTCAAGTTTTTTGCGTCACTACCATTTTTTAATAAGTCGATATTCAAGTCGCCCATGATCACTGTTTTTTGCTGATGAATGCAATCCTCATTTAACCTTTCTTCCATGTACTTCAAGAATTCCCTACAGTTACCATTAGGCGATCTGTAAATGGCACCCACCATGACATTTTCTGTCTTCATTTGTACCCGTATCCATAATGCCCAATAGTTATAGTCTATAGCCTCACTACATATTACTTCGAACTTTAGAAAACTTTTAATATAAATTGTTGTCCCTCCAGTGTGTCGACTATTTGAATAGCAGTTCACTAAATTATATCCAGGTATGGCTATTTCGTCATCTCCTATATCAACAGTTAAGTGGGTCTCACTCACACATACGACAAAAGGGTTTTCATCCCGAAACAGTTGCTGAATATCCTCGGCATGCGATAAAAGTCCCTGAGCATTCACATGTATAAACAAAACACTATGCAATGAGGAAGCCCTTGATGACACTGATGATGATATTTGCTATATATACTGTGTCCTAGCTTTGACTCTTTCAACTGCTCTCATGTAGCAAATGCAGTTCTTGTCAAATACACTGTGGTTGTAGCTAATATTTGGTATCTAGTAAGCAGTTTTATTTCTACATAAACAGATCTCTTGGTTCAAGACTTACACATTTCTCACTTGATGTAACCACTAACAGCATCCTTAATGATGAGAAAGAAGTTGCCAATTTATTTTCCAAACAGGTTCAGAGTGTTTTTAGAAGAGAAGATCTAAGCCATATGCCCAACTTGGATCCTGATACATACTGTGCTAATTCACTTGAAATTGTAACTCTTCCACCCGTGAAATTGGAGACTGCACTCAAATCACTGGAGCCAGATTCTAGTTCAGGAGAGGATGAAATCCTTGCCATTTTCCTGAACAAGTGTACTGCAGTTCTGTCAAATCCCCTCTCAGCCATGATGAACAATCTTCTTAGGCAGGACTAAACTTCCAAGAGAATGGAAGAATGCAATTGTAGTGCCTATGTACAAGAAAGGCAACAAACACCTGTCTGAAAACTATGGGTCCATTAGCTTAACAGGCACCCTTTGCAAAAGCATGAAGAAAGTTCTGGTATCTGAGATGACTGGATTTTTGTTCGTAAATGGAATCATCGCACTTTCCCAACACGGGTTCCTTCCTGGAAGATCCATTTCCACGAACCTGCTTATCAAGGTTCATGACTGGACAAGGGCAGATGACTCTGACCAGTCTCTTGATGTATTTTACCTGGATTTTGAAAATGTTTAGACAGGGTACCATTTGGGCGGCTTCCTCATAAACTTCATCACTATGGTATAAAAGGACTTCTACTCAACCTTATCTAAGACTTTAAGCAGGATCGACAGTTTTGTTTCAGGATAGGGTCCATGAAGTCAAATTCCTCTTAAGTTTTCAGTGATGTTTCTCAAGGCCCTCTACTCTTCCTTGTATATCTTAGTAACTTGCCAAATGGATTGAGGAGTCAGATGTTTTACGGATACCTGTTGTTATAGTAATCCTGCAACGCAGAATGAAAGCCTCCAAGAGGATGAAGATGCCATCAAACAGTGGACAACCACCTGGCAAATTTCACTGAATAGCTCCAAGTATTCCATTTTCCAGCTGGGCAAAAACAACCCCAGGATGCAATACTTCATTCGGTCTACCCAGGTAATCTGTTGTCATTGAAGACATGAAGTGAGAAAACCATCAATATGACTTCATAAAGAAGTCAGAAATCCAAAGGAAGTTCGAGAAATTATGGATTATTAATATCATATTCGAAGAAGTTTTTATGCAAAATGAGAGTGGTGGTTTCCCAGCAAATTACTTATGAGCAAATTCAGAAAATGTTAGAAAAAGCTGGACATCTTTCGGAAATCCAGTTGAAGGAAACTCGAAGGAAGTCCTAGGAAGCACAGGAAATATTCATAAAGGAGGAAATTTTTATGTATAATTTGGGAAATGGTTTCCCTGGGTAGTAGTCTCAAGGAAATCCGTTTGAAAAAAAAAGTTCCACAAAAATTTGAAAAAGTACGGACAATATTTTGCCAAATAATAAAGAGTTTCTATGTACATTGATAAGGTGTTTTTGGGGAAGAACGAGAAAACTTGAGGTTCTTGAGGATCTTTTGGAGCATTAGATCAAAAATTATGGGGATTATTTTTTCGAAATCTTTCTAGGAGCTTCTTGTCTTATTATGCCCCAAATCGGCAGAGTATTAAGAGTCCACATTAAAAAATCTTGCACAATTTTACTAAAATAACAAAAATACACGTTAACCCTTTTTTTGTGTAGTCACTTTTAATTGACCAAAAAATTCATCTTAAAATAATTAAACAATTAACCATATTTAGTAACAGGCCAGAAGACACATCCCCAACCATAATTACGTTACGTTGAGTTTCATGTATGGTAAAGCCCTCAGACTCTTAATATTCATTGGTTCTCTGTTCAGAATTTATCGTTTGGAGCCTCGTTAATTATCAGTTTTCCATATAAATCGCGAATATAACGAGCATTCTGCGTGGAAGTAATTTTTCTTGAAGCGCCATCATTCAATTTAGGTATTTGCTTTTGACTGTATAATGTGTTGAGAATTTTTTTCTAGGTTTATGATCTCTACCAAAACCAAATCGAAAAGAAACCAAAATTAATAGGAGAATGGTCAACGTGGAGTCCATGGAGTCCATGTTCAAGAACTTGCGGCGGAGGTATCACTCAACAAACCAGACACTGTATTAGTAGACCAGCAGATTCAAGGTATACATCAATTAATATCATAGTATTTTAATAAATTATTGGTTTGCGCATGGTAAATGTTCTCACCCAACCAGCTGACCTATAAAATCGACTTACCTTATAAAAAAAAAATGGATTAGTGTTTAGACAATATTCACAAGGATAATGTAGGTAGAGCAAACATGCATTTGCCTAGGATTTATGACTTCAACCGAAATCTATACAGATTAAATTGGAACAGTGATTTATGCACTGTTTATAGGAAAGGCAAATATACCTACATTACTTTGATAAGGAAATAATTTGATTTAAAACTAGTTGGAATAAATAAGCTTCTAATTTTCATGGTTGCAATTGAAGTAAAAATTTTTATTTATTTATTTATTTATTATCAGTAGTATAACAAAAATATACATAATACTATTATATATGTATTCACAATAAATAATAACAACTTATTCCTACTGACTATTCGGTGCACAATGATATTCATAATATTGTGTGTGCACCCATTTCATTGCAAGTTTAATACTATTTGAGGTAGGTTACCCATTTCAAAATGAGTTACCTATATATATATATATATATATATATATATATATATATATATATATATATATATATATATATATATATATATATATATATATATATATATATATATATATATATATATATATATATATATATATATATATATATATATATATATATATATATATATATATATATAATAATATGTGTCTAGGTCTAATAAAAATTAACAAAAATGAGCAATTTGTTCACTGATTATGTTCAGCATGAGGTATGTATGTTCTAGAAGGAAAAAAAACAGACAAACAGGAAAAATCACAACCGATAGCACCGAAGTTTAAACCAAAAGGCTGTCTAGATCAAATAATTAATCTAATTAAAAATTAGCTTTATTGAATCCATTCGGAAATTATTGCAATCATATACGCTTTAATTTATGTTCCAATTTCGGAACCGCGGGATGCCAATTTTTATTCCCAATTTATTTTATTAATGGGTACCGAAATTGGCACAAATTTATCTTATTGTGATGGCGTGAATTGCTCGTTATTGAGCATTCGCGATGACAGAGCAAGATTTTTGTATTTATAATAATAAATGCGTTTACTCAAAATTCAACTGGATTTGATTTCGTTATTTACTCAAAATCCACTGAAATTTTGAGATTTTATTGAGAAAGGGGGCAAAATATACTAGAAAGTCAAATTCTTTGAGCCTCAAGTAAGAAGGTTTGTGGCGGGCAGTCGGTGGTATAATCTTAATCTTAGGTTCAACCTCTATCTGCTTTGGATCAAGGGACTGTGTGATTTACTCGTAACAAAATGCAAAGGCACAAACACTACACCGGAGACTCCCTAAAAAACTTCATTTAAACGGTACGAAAGTTACAACACGCAACTGAAGCCTTTTGGTTTTACAACCAGTCTTCTGGAATGAGTAAAGTCTCTTGGTACTGCGGAGTTACTAGGGTCACCATCATCCTCTTCATCTGTAGCATGTTCTATAGTAGTGGATGATAACTTCTTATTTGAAACTTCACCTGCATTGTTTGTAACTGAAGTTGTACCGCGGGGTCTTCCACACTTTCGAAGAGGTCTAACTGGATTTGAGTCCTCATTCTGACGAGACTTAAACGGCGTCAAAGCTGATACATGATACTTTCCTAATATAGTATGCGAAGCCTGGGGTAAAGTGAATTCCATAAGAGGTAGGCGATACGATTTTGGATACTACATTATAGTACATAGGGACTATCTCGCTTTGGTGCAAATTTTGAAGTGTACGAGTCTTGGGCCCTACTTAGGACATGTGAGTTGACCAGTACTTTATCTCCGCACATGTATTTGAGAGCGTCACGAAGGCTTTTATCTGGATAGTATTTAGGGTGGGTATTATAAAACTACTTTGAGAGTTAACTTAAAGTTAACCTCTGGAATAACATGTAATTCAAAAAGTTAACTTCAAGTTAACTGTCAAAGCAGTTTTATAATACCCACCCTTAGTCGATCTTGCTGGATCTCGTGATGGTTACGGGTTCCCGGAGTGTCCGAAATGCGCCCCCGACAAAAAAGTCGAAAACGTTCGTTCCAAAAAGACAGACGGATGTTTTTGAAATCGAGACGAATTGGCTTGATGGTGATGCGAGTCTGAAATTTTGCGTCATCGGTCCAGTAATATTTACGTCTTCATTTCTAAGATAAACAAATAGAAAAATTATCTATTAGTATCAAAACACTGCTGGTAGAGCTTGTTGAATTATTTGGAAATAATTATTGTCAAACAGGTCAAAACTGTAGATCCATACTTGGAATTCTCAAGAGAAGAGCTAATCAAAAGTGTTATCATTTACAAGGTGTTTCATTTTATAAAAATGAGAAATGTCCGAAACGTAACATCTCCAATCGATGTTCAAACAGGGTGCAATTTGCTGAACTCAAATACATAAGGCATTGCAAGTACGGAGTTATTTGACTCACAAAGTTGTCTTTGTCTACCATGGCACGTAGTTTTTGATTCACGATTCACATCGTCTGGAGTTTTCAAATTCTCTCCCGAATAGGCGGCGCTGAAACCTGTGGCTTGTGATCGGCTGCTTTTTATTGAAAACCCAATGGCTGGTCGGTAGCTTATCTTTCCATTGTGTATGATCATCTTGCACCAGGATAAAAAGTTGGGTTTTCGAGTCTCTATTTTTTCTCTCAACCGGGTTTGCTTCAGGATGATAGGCTGGAGTTAGTGTTTGCTCAAATCCGAGACAAGGTGCAACTTGCTGCATTACTGAGCTAACAAACTACACATCGTTGTCACTTATAACTCTTCGGGGTACGTCATAGCGCAAAATTATTTCATCTGCTAAGCCACGAGCACAATTTTCTGAAGATGCTATCTTAAATGAAAATATCTCCACCCATCGGCTTGATGTATCTTCTATAATAAATATCCACCTGTAATTATCTTTGGTCTTAGGTAGAGATCCGAATAGATCAATTGATATTCTTCCAAAACGTTGGGACTGAACAGGAGTTTCAAATTGTCCTGCTGGCTTGAGATTTGAAATTTTGTATCTTTGGCATTCAACAAACTTGGTGATATAGTCGGCTATATTTCTGCGCATCTGGCCAAAAATCGCGACTGGCTATTCTTTGGTGAGTACTCTCTATTCCATAATGACCACTTAACGGTGAATCATGCGGTATTTGAATAATATCTCGGGAATCTGTGATTTGGGCACAAATTGTTGTGCTTCTTCTTCGTCCGGTACGTACCTAAACAGTACACCGTACGTACCTAAACAGTACACCGTTATGCATAATGTACCCTCGTTCGGTCCATTTCTTAAAGTCGAGGTTATTTTTGTCCATATTTCCAAAAGTCTGTATTATCTTGTTAATATCTGGATTATCCAACTGTTCACGGCGAGTTTCAACACCATTTTCTCGTGGCAAATCTACGGTTACCAAGTTTGCTTTCATTTCTTGGTCTGGTGGTCGTGATAGGATATCCGCAATGACATTAGTTCGGCCTGGTGTAAAGTCTGTTTTTTTTTTTAAAGATAATTCCCCAAGTCAAAAATTTAGTAACTATGTTGGCAACACAAGCCTTTTCTACATAAAAAATTTGAAAGCTTTGACAATTTTACATTGTATTGCCAACACAGGCAGGCTTAGGTAGTAATAAGAACGCTAAAGTGCGACAACTGAGTGAACCTTGGTAACGTATGAAGTAGCAGAGGGGAAGACGAAAACCTATACTATACGACGCGGCGGGACCCGACGTGGTGCATTGCGAAAATTGCGTTTACCGTGACACGACGACCGTCGTGTATGTAAATTTTAATCTCGGGCCAATCAAGAGGGTTTTGCCCGCATTCCTTCCATACAGGTTTACTCACTTGTCGCACTTTACACATACGCGGTTTGATAGCATTGCGAACTGTGAAGTTTCGAACGCGCTCAAAAATTATTTTTCTTCCGAGTTCGGGGATTCACCGAAAAATGAATGTAATTATTATTTTGTTTTGTTGTGATCCATTATGCATCGCATAATCGCATCCCATTTCAAGACTGGATGCGTTTTCTCGCAATGGAACTGGCTGAACCTAGGTTCGAATTGCGAAACAATACGTCGTCTCGAACAATGATGAACCCAGTGGTTGGACCTGGGTTCAAATAAGTTCGAACCCGAATCCAAAACTGAGAAGCGGAATGGTTTACCGCCATTTTTCTTTTTTTTTGCTTAGAATCAGATCTAGCAGGCAGCAAGCAGTACAAAATGAAAAGTGCTACAGTCTATTTTTTCCCAAGATAGATTTTGACATTGAGAACTTTGAAACATAAATAATAAGGCTTGGCCCTGATTGGTCGCAAAATGAGGTGTCCCTGCAGGTTGACATCAGGTTTACAATGCATGGCGTGCAAATGGCATTTTGCGACCAATAAGCGGCATAAGCGGCATTGTTTATGTTTCAAAGTTGACAATGTCAAAATCTATCTTGGGAAAAAATAGACTGTATCTACTAAAGATTTGAATTTTTTTTACGTTTTGTTAGTATTTTGTGCATTTGTGGGATTTTTTTTTAAAAAAGGGAATTTTTGGACCCGCTTGTGGGAAATTTGATTTTTGAAAATTGGCAACACTGGCGCAAGCTTAGTTAACAAATTTGTCCGTTTTCTCATCACCTTGCACTTTTAAAAACAGCTCTCTGTAAATTAGATGAGGTGGTTTCGAATAACCACAAGCATGCCTTAATGACAAAATAGCTTCATCAAAACTGTTTATCGAGGACTTAAATTCCCTGCCACCAGGTAGCAGCAGCATCATGCAGTAGCATTGAAAGTTCTTTGAGAGCATGCTGGTCTGGTATAATAAGACAAACTTTGTAAACAGTTATGGCCTCGATGAAAACATCGACATCTTCCTCGATATTTCCACTAAACCGAAATTGTATGCAGAAAAGTTAACTGTGGTACTTACATTTGGTTGAACTTCAGTTGCCTATGTACCAAAATTCACATTTTGTATACCAGCTAATAATCCTTGAAGCATATCTGGCGTCATGACAATCTGTTTAACTGTAGGAGCAGTTTCATTATTTTATGTCATACCAATACATTATTGTGTTATTATACCTTAGATATCATCTACATAATTCATTACTTTATGCCCGTGCGGGCATAAAGTACACATTATGGCCCGCGCGGGCATAAAGACGCAAAAAACAGTTTTCAATTAACTTATTCTTTATTAACAAAATATAAATTTACGCTTATAAACATATTATTTTTGTCAAAAAATGATGATGTTTGCACATTGATGACAATTTGCGAAGTGACTTTTTTTTCCCAGGTATTTATTATTCACAACCAACTGGTATGACATAAAAGTTTGTATGCACCTCGGGTACTGATAGATATACATATTTACCCTCGGGCGACTTACGAACCCTCGGGCCACAGGCCCTCGGCTTTGTAAGACTGTCGCCCTCAGGGCATAATCATCTACTTAGTACCCTTGATACATAAATAACTATTATGGCATCGTGCTTGGTTGTGGCTGAAATCCTTTACCAGATCTTAAAGGCATCCACTTTCAAAAAGAACGGATATTGCGATTTTGTCAAAAGAAATTTGGCAACTATGGATTGCGTTTGACAAAAAAAGAGGCGGCAACAATGGCTTAACGTCAGTGGTAGGTATGGACGTTTGGCAACAATGAAACGTAATTATTGGCTCTGTTCGTGCAAAAATCACAAACCAGTCAGAGTGAATTCCATTGGTTGAAACTAGTTTTCTGCCTGACTTCAACCAATGAAATTCGCTCTGACTGGTTTGTGATTTCTGTACGAATCAGACTTATTGATTATTGCAAAAAAAGGATATAGTATTGTCCATCGTTTTTAATCTGACACTTTCCGTATGAGGAGCGAGGGGGTGAAGCATATGGTCTAAACAGGTGTGTCGTCAGGTGACCATTGGCGTTCTAAGGTAGGGAGTCACCAGCACACATTCCTTTGGAGTATCAGATTAAAATCGACGGACCTTATGGCAGCGATATTTCCGAAATGAAACTGAAATGACAGTGTTCGACGGAAAGTACATTCATTAACACAAAACCAAACTGAGATAGTGTCGATTCAATGTCTGAAAACACACTTTCATTGTAACTCTTACCGAAATAACATTTCACAATCCTCGAAGGCAACACGTTGGGCGTCAATTTGTGGCGAGCAGAAGGTAGTTCAACCTCTATCTGCTTTGGATCGAGAATCGAGGGACTCTGTAATTTACTCGGGAAAGACGAAAAGTTACAAAATGCAAAGGCACGAACACTACACCGGAGACTCACTAAATAACTTTATTTATCTACAAGCGTTTGGCTATGATGTTTTTACATAACCATTTTTCTAGTATTATGTCATGTTACCCATAACACAATTAGTGGTGTTAGATTAAGTTATGAATTCATAACACAACTAGTGGTGTAATGGACGAGGTTATGAATCTATAACACAACTGTTTTTGATGATTTGACAAAATGTCAAAGGTATACCTGTAAAGGTAAAATGAAGGTATAGACAACTACTAATAAACGAAAATAATTGAAAAAACATTCTTATTATTGGCTTTGTAGATAAAACGGTGTACATCACACGTGCGTTTAAACATGACTACAAAACTCGTGTGATTAGAACAAGTCGGTCTACGACCTCGTCGTTCTAATCTTTCACACTCGTTATTGTAATAATCATGTTCATAAACGCACTTGTAATGTAAATAATTATTAAACGGTACGAAAGTTACGAGTTACAACTCAACTTCAACAAACGTCAAGTCATTTTTATTAATTGTTCATGTGACAGTTAACAGTTAAAAACTACAAACAGGGTGGCCAGCTTGAAGGGTTTTGTTACAAGTTGTGAATTTTTCCAAATAGAGTTTATTTTGTTTGAGGACAATTCAACTGGATTTAATATCAGATATTTGCGTGTGTAGCTTGTACTCCACACTCGAAAAAAAATAAAAAACACCAACTATTTTCCTCTATAGTCCATTCCATTCCATATTCAAGAATGTCCATATAACAAGACATATTTTACAAGATATAAACCGCAGTTAACTAGACAATAACGACTCTATATTTTCAATCGTTCGATGTCAATTAAATCGATTTGACTTATTTATTTTCCCTATTGATGCAGTGACCTAGAACCGAAACTGTGTGCAGAATGTGGCGGAAATGACGCCATATCACACCCTAAAAGTATAGGCGCACCGGAACAATAAGGCATTAAATCAGGATCAACTTCAAAGCTTTAAAATTCCTGGTTGGACTAAAAAATCATTCTATAATAATGCCTTACGATGTTAGAAATTATGCGTTTAAAAATCTTTGAAGTGAAATTAAAAAAAAATAAAGACCGACAAGTTGTTATAGGTTTATTTGATTGAGGGTGATTGATTGAAAGTGTGAACCCCAAACGCCGCTTCACTATCCCATTGTTTCTTGCTCCTAGGGCAATTCATCATACATCAATTTTCCTATCATCGAAAATCCTCGTAAAACATCCCTACAATCTAATTTAGACGTTGGCCTGCTCTGGTAATTACCTGTGAAAGCGATGTAATAACACGGAACATAACTCTAGTGATTTATTTTAGTATTTATCTAGTGGATGGATGCACAGATAGTAGGTAATATATAGGACAGGTTTGGTACTACTACGAAGGAAAATGGTAATTTATTTCTAAATTTCAAACACGCTGATGGTATTTGGAAATTCGTCCACAATAAAAAATACAGTACAATTAAACTAGAATTTCGAATGAATCCGGGGAAAAACGACAACTAACTACTTTGAACAATGATTATCTTTTAGCATTAAAAACTATTTTGCCGTTTCCCCTCAACTGATCCTTCTGATTGATTGATCTCCATGAATAAGCTTTCCTATTTTTTCTGTTGTATGCTTAATGCTTACCGTGAGCAATACAAACAATACAAACATTTCATCAGAAAACTTTTTTATTTAAGGTTCGTGAAGAAACAACGAAGAAGAAGACAAAACTGGAAACCCACAAACGAGTGCGTAGGGCTGTACAAGCGAATACATTTGTGTAACACTCAGGTAATCAATATTCATTAATCTAATAAGTGATTTTTTTTACGGCCCGTCAGGCCTATCACAACTTTATTGGTTACTTAAAAAATAAGCGGAAACATTTTAATTTACCTACTTTAAAAATCATTTGATTTGTCAATAAAATTTAATGTTGTTATGGATGGTTTAACGCCTCTAGAAAATTTTATTGTATTTTGATACTACTAAAAGCTACATAAAAAACATTTAATGGTGCATAATAAAAATCGTTTTAAAATAGGTATAAATGTATTTCTCGGAATGCAATTGTTTACTTTATCTAGGTACTTTGCTACTGATTGAAACATTTAGCCCCAAGATTTTGAAATTAAAATGTATATTATTATTTTCTACTATCTATATAGACAAAGCTGGAGGCCGCGTGCTCATCAAACCGATAGGTTAATTGAATCGACGATAACAAATGTTTCTTCTATTCAAATTGATTAATCAGACTATTCATTAATTTTCCCGCTCTCGTGTTTCAGGACTGCCCGGCGGGCATTAATCGAGATTTCCGATACGAACAATGCGCCTCGTTCAATAATCGGCCCTTCAAAGGAAAAACTTACTACTGGGAACCGTTTTATCAAGGTAAGGATTATGTCAGTGGCGTCTCTTATGATTTGACTGAATAGCGTATAGACACGAATTTGTTCCGACAGGATTTGACCCGACCGTAAAAATCCCGACACAACGTTATCAAAATCAAACTCCGTGTATTAACATACAGAATTTTAAATTAAATCTGACTCCCCTATTATTCTTGTTCTGGTGGTTGTTAAAATCTAAATCATCAATATTTGTTTTTTCAAAAAATGCTGGTTTAAGTCTATCATTTGGAACAGTTTTTCGTTTTTCATTAATGAGAAAAGTAAAGTATCTTACATGTGCCACTGTAAGGGCATTCCAATTGATTCCAAATAACTTGTTTCCCAGATGCAGCAAGTAAGTATGTGGAAAGCACTAAATGATATATTTGACAAAAAATTTGACTATTCTTTGCACGCTCTTGTCAAATCATTAATTTGGGCTGAATGCGAGTCGGCTATAGATATTCCTGAACACATTGCCAGATATAAGGAACAGCGATCTAGATTGGTAGAAAGAACCTCAGTTTTTAAAAGTAGAGACTCATCGGAGGCCGTTCTTCATCCTCTACCAACCTCATACAACAAGAGCCAAATGATCATTTGGAGAAGTAAGTCTCAATGGTTTACTGCCACTAAAAAATTATATTAAAGTTACATTGTATGATGTTCTGTATGTGCCAGATATGAAATGTTCCTTCAAAAAATGAGAGAAAAAGAAATAAAAATTAAATTATATTCACAAAGGATGATAAAGTAGTAGGATCTGAAAAATTACAAATTCTCCAAGAAGATAAGGATTATGGGATGGCTACAGATGACAAGGAAAATCTGAACGTAAGTGTTGTTGAATGGCATAGAAGATTGAGACATGCGTCAATAAGTCACTTCAACGAAATTAAGAAGTCAGTTGCTGAAACACATAATCTACCTAAACAATGGCGGATCCAGAGGTTTTGAGGGGGGCACTTAACCCAAGAACGCGGTCATTTAGAAGCCGTCGGAGGCGAAAAATTTTAGGCTGCCACGCCTCTTTTTTGGGCCCTTTAACGATATTTAATATCAATATTTGGTTGTCCAGGGCTATTTTTTATATTATCCTACCCCTTAACTTTTTTGTGCCTCTGTGTATAAAAAAAAATGTAAATAGGAAAAGTGTATAAAGTGCGTTTTTTTTTTTAAGATAAAAGTCAAACTGACATTAGGTTTTACATTTACGCTAACACTGTAAATGTAAAATTGTCAATGCTATCAAATTTTTCATGTAGAAAAGGCTTGTGTTGCCAACATAGTTACTAAATTTTTGACTTGGGGAATTATCTTTAAAAAAAAAACAGATTTTAGGTTCCAGGTTGAAAAATAGTTTCCAGAAAACATAGTTTCGTTCATACAGGGGGTTGCAGAAAGTTTAAAAAACGAAAAAATATATACTTTTTTTTATGGGACACCCTGCATATTAAGTAATGAATATTCGAATTCTACGTAAAACTCTGAGCAGATTTCATGTGATATACACTATATCTAAGTTCAACTGTTTTGGAAATATTGACAGTTGAAATTTGACTTTTTTGCAACTTTGACAGGCTGTAAAACCTAAGCGGTTAATTTTACAGTAAAACCGATTTTACATTCACATCTTAGATCTTCATAAACTATCATTTGACACAAACTTTGAATTTAATCCATGATTGAAAATTTTAATTGAATTTAATCTCCGGTTAAAGTCAACATAGTTGTCAAAGGATAGCTTATGAAACGCTAAAAATGAGAAAGTAAAATCAGTTTTGCTGTAAAATTAACCGTTCAGGTTTTACAATCTGTCAAATTTTGCAGTAAGGCACCCCAGATGCGTCATTAAGATACCCATCACCAGGCAACCTATTAACTTTAGGAACCTGGACACACTGGCATAAAAAAGTTAAGGGGGTGGGAAAATATAAAAAAATGACCCTGTGCTTAGGTATAAAATACCTGCTTATTGCGAAGGAATATAGAAAGGCAGTCGGAATCACCCAATCAGTTGAAATAATTTTAAAAGCTTGATAGAAAATGTTACTATTCAAAAGAATATATTTTTTATGCGTGCGGTGGACACTTTCTAGAGATTTTTTCAAAACATGAAAAATTCTCGGTGCCCCCCCTGGATCCGCCACTGTACCTAAAGTAAAATGACGAGAACTATTTCCAGAAAAGAAGGCAACGCCTGTAAAAGAATATTGGAAAAGGTTCGTTCGGATGTTGCCGGTCCCTTTAGCACTCAATCAATGGCATGTAATATTGACAGTTGAGTTGAAGAGGGCGCTTCTGTACTTGGAGCTCTTTAAATTTAGGCGCGTGAATAATTGAATGTAATTTTAACCTCAAAAGTCAAGTTTGATGTGTGGTTTCAAGACAAGCTGACGCTAACACTTTTGGAAATATTCTTTAAGGATCACTGAACTTTTGGAAGATATTTTTACTTATTCACTGTTCATTGTTTATATGTAGTCATCTTTCCTTCTACTCATTGAAACGGTTTTAAAACTATTGACATCTACCGCCAAAATTCAAAGTACTCCAAGTTCACTCGCGCCCTCTACAAAATTTTGGGGAACTTAACTTGATATTTGCTGCCATTGAGATAAACAAGTACTAATGTGGGATCCACGAAGCACTACCCGTTCAAAGACTAAAACCACCACCAAAAATAAACTCGAAAACGCATCTATTGGATAATATAAAATACTCTTATAGTGCGTTCTTCACAATAAATATTAATTCTCTACCGCGCACGCTAAAAACAAAACATTGACTGTGACATTGACAATCTTTTTTTTTTGACATTATAGATAGGTACCTATAGGTAGGATTGTAGGTATAAGTAGGTTTTTGACATTCTCCCACCTGATAAACTAAACTTACTACATACAAACATTCGTTTCTCATCACAATAATACAAATTTTAAAAAAGAATGTTAACAGTCCTCTAATTAGTCCTAATGCCATACTGGTAGCTTTGTCACTCGGCCACCTCGCCTAGTTTTTACGGTGGGTACTCTGCTCTGAACACTCCCGTTTATCGGGATAGACGATTCACTCACTTTCGAAACGGGTGCTCCGCTTTTCACACTTCCGATCGCGATTCTCGGCTTCGTACTTCTATAGTTGGTCCCAGTGAAGTTGTTTCCACTTCTGCCTTTTATGGCTCGGTCCCCATTTCTACAGATGTCCCAGTCTCCTCTAAGGTATACAGTCTCTGCACAGAGCGCGTAGCAACATTCCATTTGCAGTAGAGACACGCACCAAACGTACTGCACCATCTTTGCCCGGCAGAACCTTGGTAATCCGTCCGAGTGGCCAGTCAATTCTTTTAATATTATCATTACCAACTAGCACAATTTCGCCGACTTTAACTTGTCTAGACTCCTTTACACTAGTGGTGTTTTGAAGTTGTCCAAGGTATTCATCACGAAATCTAAATCTCAAATCGTCCCGAAACTTTTGTATTGCCTTATCTTTCAGCACAATGATGATCGGTCTACCACTTCACATTCAGGCAGAGTACCTTCGGACAGGTCGCGCGAAAACATAACTGGTGTAAGTGGTATCTTCCGAAATATATGTCAGAGGTCGGGAGTTTACTATTTGCTCACAGTCACATATCACGGTTAGTAAGTCCTCATAAGTGAGCGCCGCCCGATCAAGAACTTTCCGCAATAATCTTTTCAAAATGCCGACAAGGCGTTCGCAGAACGCACCCCACCAAGCTACTGTTGGAGGGTTAAAACGCCATGTTATCCGCTCCACGGCTGCATATTTTTCAACTTCGCTCTATTGCAGTTTCTTGAATAAATTATCTATGCCGACAAAGTTAGTTCCATTGTCACTGTATACTACTTTCGGTCTTCCTCTTCGAGCAACAAATCTTCTTAGGGTTTTCAAAACACACTCAGTTCACAATGAACTGGCTAGTTCCAGGTGCTCCGCTCTATATACGGCACATGTGAAAATACAGACCCAGACCTTTCCACCTGTATTTAAATATAAAGTACCAGCAAAGTCCACACCAGTGACTTCAAAAGCTTACGCATTCCTAACTAGATCTGCACGGAGAGGTGGTTGGCTACTCTTGGATACCTGCCTCCGACGCGCGACACATTTTGAAATTACAAAATTGATGTACATACTTTCGTCTACCCAACATCCAGTACTTTTCTCCCAGTAAAGTCAATAAACCCTGGACTCCAACATGACAAGACTTCCTATGAGTATCAAAAACGAGCCGGTCAATCACAACATGACTAGATGGCAGTACTATCGGCATGCGAAAAAGTTCGGTATCTTCACGATTATTTGCTATACGAGACTTCAAACGTACCATGCCAGAATCATCCCAAAATACATGCAAAGTTTTCAGGCGTTGGTAATTTTTGGAAAAACTTTATTTTTGTACACTTCACAAAACGAAAATATCCGCTCGGTTAATTTCTTCAGCGAGAAAGCAATTCGTGGCAAGCGGAGGGTGTTCTTCCAGCCATGGAAGTCTTATTTCGTACCTCCCCTCATCATTCACTCGAACATTCTCGTCAAAAAATTCTAGCTGCCTTTTCCAAATCAAACTTACTTTTATTGGCTACCGGTTCAGTGATGCCTGGGACATCTAATTCCCACAGATTATAGTCCATCACAAAGCAACTTGAAATGCTGGTGGATATACTTTCTTTGTTTGGTTCTCTAGGTAACTTTCCCATGAGCACCCATCTCAGCAACGCCTCCATGGCTACAAATCCACTTTTGAGCATCAGTCTCCGACCTGTATATAAATTTCCTGCTATATCAGATCCAATCAACAACTCAATAGTGTCAGACAGTCCCACATCACTAATTTCTATATTTGAGTCCAACAATTCCTGCAACCAGGATCGAGGAAAAACAATCGGAACTTCACAGCAAATCTTAAGCTGATCTAATACATCAAACCTATAAGTGTTACCATTATCCTGCAATAAATGAATCTCGTAAAGACCATGCGACTGTTCTGACAAAACACCCCCAAAGAGACAATGCGTAATCTTTTCCGTCGACTTGTTGTTGCAATCCCTATTCTGTGGACTTCAAAATTTATGAGCGTTGGGATCCCGTGTCAATCAGAGCTTTCACTTCCATAAGACCATTTCCACCCTTAATTTTTTTTAAAGTCTGTAGAAACACATAACTCTGGAAGCATTAGTGCACGAGAGTTACGTTCCAGGGGTGCGATTTTCGAAACCATTCGAGTACATTTCGTACACGAAATTTGACTGCTCCCCATTTAATTTACATTGCTGTCAGTCAAATTTCGTGTACGAAATGTACTCGAATGGTTTCGAAAATCGCACCCCAGGAGTGTTACTTCCTTTTGAAGGGTTATTTTCTTCGTCTTTGGAAAATCTACTTGATGCCGACTCAGGACACATCAAAACACCTGAAGCATGTCTTTTTTGCGGGAAAAATATCTTTTCTTTTTTCCAAAGGGAAACTCTGATGGGCGCTGAAACAATTTGGACTGTCATGGTGACTTTTCTCGCAGAAGACACATTCCGTATTACCATTACCATTTACCCTGTCGAGACTCAAAATTTTGCTCATGGTTTACAAGGTCAGCTGCAGTTAGCACCACATTCTGTAAACCAAAACCCTTGAACTTTTCTCCTCCATTACCAGTTGTCACTCCTCCTCGACTTTCGTAATCCAAATCCTTTTGATGCAATCAACATCCTCTGTTCATTCTCCACCTCATTCCTAAGAAACTTTAGCAAAGCCAACCATCCTCTTCATGCTCACCAGAGACCTCAACACAAAGAGCTCCTGCTGTTCTTTGCCACACTCTTAACAATTCTTCCGGGAGACGATCAAAGGAAAAAGTATGGAAGAATATTTATCGGATGTTATGCCCAGCGTTTCGAGTGCTCGCAACTGTGTCTCGATACTATAATAATGGATCGATACGTCAAGCTTCGCCTTGGAGACAGCATTGTTCAAAACAAGTCTCAGAAGCTCCCTGACATAAACCTCAATTTGCATATCTTCCCTACCAAAACGAGATTCCAGGCTAGCCACAATTTTCTCATAATTTTCTGCTGTAGCAGGAAAACTATTGACAAGATTTCTGGGTCGACTGCCTGGCACTGTGGTCTGAAGTAAATATTCAACCTTGTCTGCCATATCAATCTCTGCGTCCTCGTCCACCTTTTGAAACTGAGACCAAAAAAAAGCCAATCCCTAACATTGCCATTAAATTGTTTAAATTGAATTGTAGGTAATTTAAACTCTCGCTTGCCTACGCATCTTATGTCAGATCTCGAAACTGGTCCAAATCCGCTGGTGGAGACAACTTTCGGGCACTCTTTATCATAAGCTCCTTGAACCTCCTGTCATAAACATCACAAGTGTCCATATCTACTGTCAAGTCTGTTTCACTCGCATTATCAGTGAATTGAAGTGCTCTGAACTCATAGTCTGCCGACGGTGTAGCTGGTGAATCCGTTTTCAATACGAAAAATCGGGTGTCCCATTTTTTATGCTCACGACTGTACCTTATCCAAAAGTGATAGTGGAGAATATGTGTCAAATTCCCTTGTAAGTTTTTTCCAAGTGAGTTGAAATAAAGCTGGAATATTCGATACCGAATGTTCTGAAACAAATGGAAGGCCGTAAAATCAAATAAAACCATCACTACCATGGCCAGAACATCACTCATTGATGCACATCTTCCTTATTCACTGTGTGAGCTATAGCAGTACGTATACCTATCACATTCAGTCATCATACGAAATGTTTTTCGGAATAAAACCGGAAATATTTCATTTAAGATATTTCGGACAAAAAGCATTCATTTGTATCAATGAAGAAATACGACCCAGTGGAAGCAAATTTTTACCTAGATCACAAGAAGTGGAGAGAAGAATGGTTGGTACAGATACTACAATACTCAAAACCGGAAAGTTTTCCTTTCTAGCGACTATAGATTTTTGAGAGATGACGGTATTTTCGAAGAACCGCTTTTTTTCAAAAGAAGCATATGATTTGCAATCAGAAATTAAAAATAGGTTTGATAAAGAAGAGTAAATATGAATAAAAAGATGAAAATCAAAATGGAGGAAACGAAACAGAAGATATTGTACCAATAGAAAAGAATGAAGAAAATGAAAATAATCGAATGCATATATGTATAAAAATGCTCAAAATAAAGAAGCAGTAATTAGTATAAGTATTGTGGCCAATACTGTTTCTTTAAAACATTCTGAGTTAAAAAGAAGTGAGAGATCAAGAAAAGAAAATTACCAAAACGATATGATGAGTAGGTATCTATATTTAGCAAGTGATGAACCGAGGTCTTATAAAGAAGCTATTTCCTGTGTTGATTCAGACAAATGGAATTTGGTAAACAGACGAACTCGCGGGAGATAGTAGAACCTCCAGACTGTAGAGCTATTGGATGCAAATGGATTTCAAATAAAAAAATTACAAAAAATGGAGAAGTAGGTAATAAGATAAAAAGCTTTTAAACATATTTCAGGCATTGATATTGAGGAAACCTGCTCTCCTGTAAGATATGAGACAATAAGACAGCATTTAGATATTGAAATTCACATGTTACATGAAAATCCCAGAGGGTGTTGACATTGAACCAGGGAGTTTGTTATTTGAAGAAAAGTATCTACGGTTTGAAATAGTCTCCCAGATCATGGAATCATAACTGGTCAGTGTTTTGGAAGAAATAAATCTGAAACAATCCATTGTTAATCCATAGGTATATGTTTCTGTCACAAGATGGCAGACAGCTAGTTGCAGTCTATGTAGATGATTTATGTATACTAGGCAAAACTGAGAAACATTTTCAATAAGTGAAGATATTTTATCCAAGAATTTTGAGTTCACTTGCCGGAATCCTTCATTTGTGTCCTTAAATCAAGAAAGTTTTGCAAATACATGACATGGTGTGAACTGTAAGACGGCTCCTGGTACCAAAGCTCAAAGGCAATGAGTAAGATAATAGAGCAGACAAAGCGCTATATCAGTCAAACATTGGAAGTCTTCTATTTCTTGCCATGGGAACAAGACCTGACATAGCATATGCAGTGAACATAAGTTATCACAGTTTCAAACTGACCCGACAGAAACTCATATGAAAATGCTTCAATAGACCTTGAAGGTTCCATAAGTAAAAGTTTAACCTCTTCACAAAAAAATCCTGAAATTCATGTAAGCATTGATGCATCATATGGAGACTGCGCAGATACAAGAAGATTCGGTAGTGGATATATTGGGTTTTATGGTAACACAGCAATCACATGGTCTTCAAAAGGGCAGCAAAGTATCGCAGTAGGTATCCTAAAGGAAGTTTTTCAACCACTTTGGTCCAAGATATCACTTAATGAGGGATTATTAAAACATGAAGCTATATTGACGTTAGATCTTCGATTATTTTATATTTTATTGTTGGTGGGTGAACCCATACCATATTATATAAATCTATAAAAAATAAGAGGCAAATCTACGAATTTCAGTAGAGACCCGGATAAACACGTCATCCATTACTCATGGGAATGTTGCGGTGGCATTTTTCAATCCAAAGGGTATTCGAATAAATCCGTAATGTCCGTTTCTTGAAAAAAAAATTGAGGTCGCTTAATTATAATAAAAAATTGCTTCATATAGACTCTAGAAATTGCATTTTGAGTATCTACCTAATTTAGGGGCGTGAAAGAGTTTCATAGAAGTTGATAGATTCCAAGGACAAAGACTTTGGAAGCGGACTCTGAATGTTTTTCAAAGCAGTTCCCAACTTCCAGAGGACAAGCAAATTGAAAAAAATTTGCTATTCAAGAAAAAGCTTCTGGGAAATGGAACAGAATCTACTGATATTTGCTTCATTTTGTTCTCGGAAAGTAAATTTTGAATGATTGAAGGCCTTTTACAGGAATTTATGGCTTCAACGAAGAATTTTCATTGAATAATTGACTTGCTTTTCTATCGCCCGTTGCAAAATTTACTCATTACCATGACAATAATAGTAGGTACCTCCTAATTCTAAATTACACTATCAAGTATTTAAGAACTCCCACACTGACCACTCCATAGACTTATTATACCTATTTAGGAAAACCTACTTGAAGAATTTAGACTATGAATAAATTAAAAACCGAAAACACATTTCGGCTATTAGTTTTGAGCGACAGGTGAAGTGGTCCTATTAAGACAACAATATTTCATTTTAATTTATAGGTAAAATGGAGTGCGCGCTCAATTGTCGTCCCAGAGGGTTGAGCTTTTATGCCACCCTCAATAAGACTGTTATTGACGGTACCCCTTGTCATCATCCTGTCACTTCAACGGGAAAAGCAGCCCCTAAAGGAACAAGGGGCGTGTGCATTGATGGTTATTGTAAGGTCAGTATATATTTGATTTGCTCTTTATTGAAAACGTAATTTTGATTATGGTTTATTTTGTTCTAGGTAAGCAGTACTAATACAGAAGGAGGCAACTAATTAATTTGTGAATTAATTTGTAATAACTAATAGTTAAAATATTCAGTTTAATAATTCTTGATAGAATGGCGAAAGGAAATAAATTAATTTTGTGTTATGAGGAAATTATTTTATGGTTGTGGTCTTTCTATAAAAGCTCATTAAACTTAAATTAGGAAAATCCTTTGCTTTCAATAACAATCAACCACTGCTATAATTATTACTAATTAAAAAGAAAGCACCCAACAATCAAAACACACTTGAAGCAAATAAATCGCATCCATTAGATTAATAGCTTTTTGTTGCATAAATATAAATTAATATAAAATCGATCTAGGATTTATATACACACAATGAATAATCGTGCAGTTGTTGTTATTCGCAATTGAACCTGTCAAACGTAAATTATTATAGAGAGGACGATGATGGAGCCAATAAAGTCGTCTCCGTCTATTTCGGTTTATTATTGGCTAAGTGGGCGCCTAAAGGGCATCAAATGTCCATTATTATCGAGGAAATTTATTTGGATTTGAACTATTTTGCTATAACGTTGTCAACAATGGAAAATATTTGTTAGGAATCCGGAAGAAACTACTTAATTATAAGGAATTAATTTTTGACTGTTAACAATCATTACGAAAACATTTCAGTCCATTTGGTAGCCTGTATCCAAAACTGCTCAAGTTTTGTCTACTAAAACATTTTAAATTCTAAAAGACTCAAGAAGGAATTTTGAAATTTCTAAATTAAACATTGTTAAACGTTCTAAACTGGTTTATTGATTCTAAAATGTTTCCGAGCTCTAATGATTTTTTAATATTCTGACGCGTTCTCTAAGTGGTTCTGGAGCATTTTAAAAGTAAATTAAATGCTTTTGACTTGTTTTAAAAGTGTTCTGGAGCTTCTTAAAAGTAGTAAATAAGGGTTTTGAAGAGTTCTTAATTGCTTATATGAAAATTCTAAATTAGTTTTAAACTGTTCAAGAGCGTTCTATTTTGAAATGTATAGATTAGCGTCCGAATGGAACATTCTTCAATGAATCAGAAAATTCTAAATTGTTGCTTATGAAAATTTTGAACTCGAAGAGTTCTAAAATGATTCCTTATATTTTAAATTGTTTCCGAAGTGTTTGATAATGCTTTAGGAACAATTGGAAAATTTTCTGAAATGATTCCGGTACCTAGTTCTAATTTGAATTTCAACTCTAAATTTTTTTCTGAAGTATCGTCAACAATTCTGAGAATTCAAAAGTGTTGTAGAATTTTTTCTGAACTAAATGTCAAGTTCTGTGGAATGTTTTTCAAAAAATTCTGAGTTTTTTTTTTTTGAAAATTCTGTAAAATATTCAAATGTTATGCTAGAAGTGTTTAAAATTTAAAATTATTTGAACTATTCTGATGTTCTCTTCAGGAACTAAACCGATTCTAAAGTATGTATTCTTAATTGTTTCCATATTATCTGAATCGGTTTTGAGGTGCCTTTGTAGCTCCAAAATGTTCGAAATAATTCTGGTATTCTGAATCGCCTTGATTTCTTCATTGTAAATTGTTCTAGAAAGTTCTTGCAATGTTAAAATTGGTCCCGGAGTGTTCTGAATCGGTCCTCAGTTGCTCTAGAGACTGACTGAACTGGTTCTGAGGTGTTCAATTATGCAATCAAAGAAACCCTAATCAAAAACGAAAAAGTTAAATTTTGATTGAAATTGTATTATACCTCCGTATTATAATCAAGTCGAATCTTACTGTCACGGCTCTGGGGTGCGTGACAGAAATCTAGGGTTCGTTTATTCCAAAATCAAAATCCAATTAACACAACAATAATTTATTCCACGTAACTACACACTCTGACACTAATTAACTGAAACAACTCAACTTTTACAACTCTTACAAAATTTACTATCTAAATCGTATTACAGTCAATCTTAAACTTAAAAACTACTAACTACAGCCACATCAAATCACCTTCTTGAAATCCGGCCGAATTGGCTTTCAAGTCGTATCTGGTCTTCATTCGGTCACTGGCCAGCTGAATATGCTCCCCAGCAAAATCATGTATCCTCAGAAGTCGTGCCCTTACTTCATCGGCATAATCTCGAATTTCTTTTCGTTTTTCTTCAGGTAAGTATGCCAAACATCAGATCGCAAGATAACCTGAGTTCCTTTCCAAAAACGATTCTACCTGGACTTTCACCTATTCACTAGTGAACAGCTGCTCTGTAAGCCATTAAAAATAGAGGCAAATGTTTGTCCCAATCTCGCTGATTCTTTGCGACTACTTTTGTCCGGTGTTCCTCTCTATGGTCTTATTAAATCGTTCTACCATGCCATCATACTGGATGTAAAGGTGTTGTGCTTGACTTACGAATGCCCATGATTTCACAAATTTTCTTAAAGATGGCAGATTTGAAGTTTCATCCCTGATCTGAATGCAATTCTAGTGGCACACCATGACGACTGAAAACTTATTTACTGAAGTAATCCATGATAACAAAGATGTATTTGTTACCACGCTCCGACTCAAAGAACGGTCCGGCAACATCTATCGCTATTCTTTCACATGGGACACCGACGTTTTACTGTTTCATGGGCCCCCGATATCTTATATAGTTTAGGGCCTTCACTGGTAGCACAGATGTCGCATTTTCGGCACCAGTTTTAAACGTCTTCATGATAGTGAACCCAGTAGAAACGTTTTTTCCAAAGGCTTATTAACTCCTAAATGTGCCCCTGAAGTGCCGTCATGTATTTCTTTTAATACATCTTCTACTCGATCTTTTGGAATAACCAGTTGGCTCTTAGTAGATTTTCCATCGACACTTTCCCAAATTCTGTATGTCCAAAATCAACATGCCTTTCTGATCCGGATAGGACAACACTGGGCTTGTACATAATGCTCCTTTTAATTCTAAATGCAAAATCTCATTCTTGGGTCCAATTGAACGTTAATTTTTTTTTTCGTTAATCGATGAAGCGGAACAGCTATATATTAGCGAATCCTTCTACAAATCTTCGATAATAAGAACCTAATCCTAGGAAACTCCTCATTTCATGTTTGTCGCGTGGTTTTGACCAATCCCTGACAGCATCTATCTTTTCTTCCATAACTTGTATGCCATCTTCAGATATCACGTGACCTAAGAATTCCACTTTGTTTTGAAATAGAATAGATTTTTTCTAACAAGTGCGCAAAGTGATACTTTCCCGCACGAAAAAGCAGTTAGACGATCGATGCGAAGCGGAGTGCGGATAAGCTTTAAGTGTTGGAGAGACACTTTGCGCAAATATTAGGAACAATACTTTTTCTACGAGTCTCTTAAAAAAGTAGTCTTTGATTTGTTAAAATAGTTAAACAATACCGCAATATATCCAAAAATCGTTTGAAATCTTTTCGAATTTCTAAAATATCTTCATGAAAATCTCTTGAATCTCAAAAATTTTACAAATTCCCAGTGATACAGGGGGTCCAATTTGGACTTTGGATACCTTTGATAGGAAACGTCATGTTTACTAAGCGCTCAATTCAACCCTTCATTTTGAATATTAGTTTATCCAGAAACCATCAAAACATTGAAAAATCGAGTACAAATATGGTAATTGTGCGTAACAAAAATGAGTGCGCAAAAAGTTTCCGTGCGCAAAGTTCAACTTTGCGCACGCAAATGAGTGTGCAAAGTAATTACTTAGCGCACGCAAGTAGAAAAAGCACTTATTCAGATTGAGATTTAAGTTGGCATTCCGGAAGCGTTCAAAAACTTCTTTCAGGTTATTGAGATGTTCTTGGAACGAATTTCCCATAATCATGACATCATCTAAATATACCAGGCACGTGCTCCATGTGAGGCCTCGCAAAACTAGATGCATCAGTCGCTCAAACGAAGCGGGAGCATTACACAATCCAAAAGGCATTACATTAAACTGGTATAGCCCGCTTCCGGTACTAAAGGCAGATTTCTCTTTGTCATCTTTGTGTATTGCCACTTGCTAGTATCCACTCTTAAGATCCAAGGTGGAAAACCATTTGGAGCCCGATAGAGTTGTTAATGTATCGTCTATCCTCGGAAGAGGGAAGCTGTTCTTCTTGGTGACGTCATTAAGCTTACGGTAGTCCACACAAAACTAAGACTTCCATAGTGACTTCATCTTTTGTTTTAATGACTGTTTAAATGATTTTATTGTTTTAGTCTGACCTTGTATTGTATTTTTATTTTGATTATTTCAATCTTGGTACTCTATGGCCCTGGAATTATTTTTGTATAATGTTTTTTTTTTTCCCCTTTTACAGCTTTGTCAACGAGAATTTTGTTCTTAGACAATAAAGCATTTTTTGACTTGACTTTGACTTTGACTTGACTTGACATCTTTCTTTGTAACCAATAATACTGGGGCAGACCATGGACTATTTCACTCTTCAATAATACTCTCTTGAAGCATTTTATCAATTTGGTTCTCCACTTGTTGTCTAATTAGATGTGCCAATCCAGTATCAATTTTGTGTTTAATTAAGCTGGTCCGTCCGGTTTGATTATCCATCACAAATACGCCTGCTTCTTTCGAGGTGTTTCCATGATTTCTCCAAAGTCTGCATCAAGGTGTCTGTATCCAATTTCGGTTTCACAAAATGTCGCTTATCTGGTAGGTCACAGTTCGATATTTGCTTAACTGGTTCGAGCGCTCCAATAATATCTCCTTCCTTCATTTTTACTGTTTCAGAAGAAACATTGGCCATTCTTATCATAATGTCTCCATTTGCTCTCACTAGAGTCTTTCCAACGAGAAATTTTTCTGGTTTATCTCCAATAAAATTATGTGTTAGTCCCACGCAGCACCCAGGAATTGTTTCCAATTTTCCGCAAATGATCTTCTCAGTACTTCCAGGAATCCTCACTGGGGTCGGGGCCTGGCCAGGATCTTAACGGCTTGGGA